TTCGAAATGAGAAAGGCTTACATATCTTGAAAAATTGGGTCTATATTTTTTCCGCGGACTAGAACAGCGCCCACTGTCAATATACGATTTCTTTTTCTCGTCATTATTATTATTATTATTATTATTATTATTATTATTATTAGTTGTTGTTGTTGTTGTTGTCATTGAATATGTTAAAGGAAGCGTGAACAATTTTATGATTATTAGACTATGAAATGGTTCTTTTGTTCTGGGGATATTTCACAAGTGTACTGAACGTCGGGAAATAGAGTGGCAATACATTTTTCATAGGTCACATGTGTTTTTTTTTTCTTGTAATTGGAGTATTCTTTTCTACATGTTAACCCAAGCTTAGAAAATAAAAGCAATCAGATGTACTGTATGAGCTGTGTAGGATGTGTTCACATTTATTTATTTCAATGGACCCATAGAGATGAAGGAAAAAAAACAGAGGATTTAAAAGATTGAGTAAATGAATACATCGTGTACAAGTGTTGACGGGTGTTAACAAATATGTTTGCGCGCACACAAACAGATACACTCACAAGTATATATATATATATATATATATATATATATATATATATATATATATATATATATATATATATATATATATATATATATATATATATATATATATATATATATATTGAAAAAATTAAATAAAATTAAAACAAATATATGAATATACAATCCAGTGTATCTCAAATTTAATTTTTTAACGTTTTTATTATTTAAGACATATATATATTTATTAAAGACATTTTTATTTTAACGTTTCTTTTTTTATATTTACGCTAAATAAATGCTCTGTTTATAATAAATCGTATTAAATAAACATTTACGCTGACGTGCCTACCAATCGGCCAAAAAGGAGCGTTTTCAGCGTAATGACGGTTCCGTATAGGATGCAGGTTCGAATCCTGTCAAAGGACGAATATTTTATGAAAATTTCCTTGCATTCAGGCCGGTAAATGTTATTTAATACTGTTTATTATAAACAGAGCATTTACTTAAATACTTGTATCTATAAAAAAGAACGTTAAACATAAAAATGTTTTTAATAAATAAATTGTCGGACTTTGTCCATTTCTTAATATATATATATATAGATAAATATGTGTGTGTATATATGCGTGTGTAAAAACTTATGTTAGCCGACGCGTTTCATACTCACTTGCCTTGATGAAATTCCTCAGAGGACTGATTCTCCTCATGTCGATTGATTGTTAATCGAAATCGTAGACGGACCCTCCAGCAATCGCTCCGTCCACTTGTTAGGACACATATATATATATATATATATATATATATATATATATATATATATATATATATATATATATATATATATATATATATATATATATATTATGTTTTTTTTTTACATCTTAATTTTATGAAATTTCGAGAAATTAAAATTTCACCACCTTCATATTTATATTATTTAAAACAGAACTCCTAGGATAATTTAAATCATCAATTATTTTCTTTTGTAAAAAAAAAAAAAAACAAAAACAAAGAAACTATTTACCGGAAATATGCTCTTAAACGTAAAATAAAAATGCAATAAAATAAGGCATTATTTAATTAGAAAACATTTTTATTGATTTTCTAATTAAGATTTATACGGACAGAATCGCCTTAAGAAAAACTTTTACGTTGAACAATACATTTTTTTAAGAATTTTTTTCATTTTTTAAAAAATTTTAATTAGAAACATGTATTAAAATTGAAATGCAGCAAAGTTAAATTTAATCTATGTGCTTGACATTAAAACTAAAATAAAAGCTTATAAAATAAAAGATTTTCATTTTAAAAATCAATTTTAAACCTTAGGTATATTGTTCTTTTGTATGGTCCCCATATATATATATATATATATATATATATATATATATATATATGGTATTTTCGGTATTAAACATGTTGTGGGGTTGTCAATTTTGCTGTTACACCCGATATGCATATAAAACACACACACACACATATATATATATATATATATATATATATATATATATATATATATATATATATATATATATATATATATAAGGTGTGCTACATTTATGGGATAAAGTGATCAATATCAGAGATAGAGCGTATGTAAATATAAATATAAAATGAACATTGAAGTCAACACTCAGATTGCAGTCTGCATGAAAGAGGCAATCCTGACGATTGCCTCTAGCATGAAACAGCTAATGTTCGCTTTATTTTATATTTATATTTATATATATATATATGCGTGTGTGTTTGCGTTTGTTTGTTTCTAAGGAACTATGAATTTGTCTCATTATTCAAACGTTATATTTTACTGGATACACCTCTTTGCGTATATGCCGTGCTTTTTTTTTTAAACAGTGTGAATTTCATCTGATGGCTTGTTCATTTGTGAATCTTAATAAAGTACTGTCCGTCAGGGTTCGAAATTCTGTCCTTATTTGTAGTGGTGGTGTCGAAATGTTCCTGAACGAGGCCTAAACCAATATAGACCATTAATTTAGTCAATAATATCGACGGTACTTCATGAGATGAGTTTTTCAATATTGCAATTATTTTCTAGTTTGCACGTGATTGGTTGCCACGAAAATCCATAATCTTGAACTGGCATTCTACCGGCCTGGGAAGGCACGTTCAAATGAAATGTGTTCCTTACCTAAGTAAGGATCGCCAAAGGCCAAGTGAACCATTTCAGTTGTCTAATTTTATGAATTTCATGTGAAATCTGATGAGGTTACATTGCTCTCATTCGTTGACGATCGCAGAGTCGTTCTCGCAAAGTGTTACAAAACGTCGGGTAATAAATGAACGCGAACTGATGGCACGAAACATTGGTAGGACTGGTTAATCGACTAGGTACTATTGAGCGTTAGTTCTGTGAGCAAAACTACCGAACACTGAATTCAGAGTCCCGGGTCTTACGATAACACCTAGAAAATCTTTGGGATATTAGTTTACGCTCTCCTCAAAGATGAAGAAGAGACTGTAGGCGACGGAGAAGTGATTCTACAGAAGCATGCTGAGGATATCATGGACCTGAGCGTGTAAGCAACGATGAGGTATTGGAGAGGATGCAAACAAGGAGGGGGCTTAGACCTAATATCAGGAAGAAATAGCTGAATTTTCTGGGGCACGTAACGAGAAAGGAGGACCTGGAGAATCTGATACCCGCCGGTCGAATAGAGGGAAAGAGAGATAAGGGAAAGCAATGCATGACATAACTGGTGAGCTTGGCATCTCAACGTGGTGTAATGGTGTTATGGTCCGGTTCCTTGTACCACGGTGATAGACCAAGTTTGAACCAATAAAGAAGAACTCGAACACGGATATGGAATAACACAGATATATTACAAACAGGAATATATACAGAGAAGTAGAAAGTGTTAGTACGAACAATCAAGTTTAGTAGGGAAAACAATGTAGTCTCGACCAATATCACTATTCCAATGTCTTGTAGTAATTATCTGAACGCGATTCTGTTTCGGACTGCCTCTGACTCGACTGACTGACTCGCTCTGACTGACAGATTCCTGACGGACCTCACTCCAGACTTCAGACTGAACTCTCTGCTTCCTCTTGAGGCGTAGTATTTATTACGTATGGAATAGTCCATTATGTTATTATGGGTAAGGTCCCATAACAAATGGCTAACAAGCTTGTCAACTACGATTGAGTAGTGAGTTCGATCCTCACTGGTTGCGATATACATTCGGCCTTGTGCCACATCTAAGCTATGATTAGAAAATCGCAATAACTGTCGGGTTTGAGCAAGTGGATGACAGAACGTGGTCTGGGAGAGGTGGCAGAGGAATGAAACTTATTGAGAGCTACATGGGATGGGGGAAGTGGAGAGACATGATCGCCTACGTCTTGAAAGGACACCGCACTTAAAAAAAAAAGAAAAGAAGCTTTGAAATGGTTGTAACCGAGCTGATTCAAGAAGTTTTCGAAATCATAATGAACCATTAAAAAAAGACGTACATCAGAGAGCAAGTGCTCAGATATATTGAAGTTTTCTGCACTCAAAGCAGAATTAGTTTTAAAAGAATGTCTTCTAGTGCGTTTCATCAAATCTCATTTAGATGGAATAAAATTCAAATATTTATTTCTGTAAATCTCAATGTTTCAAATCGCATTAAACGGAGACTGATTTCAAAGAAGCATTAAGTAACATTGGCCACAAACTGCACACGACTTATATACGACGGTTCTTCATGAGATGCGTTTTTCAATATTGTAAATAATTTCTAGTTTGCGCGTGATTGGTTGCCACGAAAATTATTTGTTTTACGGCTCATCAAATTTTGTGGGTTATTTAAAGCCGAAACATATTTTGTATTGTAAGAAGTATTTTTGTAGCCAGTGAATATTGACTTATTAATTATTTAGAATAACAATGATTTTCTAGATATGAATACTGCTATTTAACCCATAGTTCAGGAGATGAATTTATTTATAACTTTCCCGGTAACTCATATACATGGGAGACATATGTATACTGTTCACTTGCGCGTAATTGAATGCAACCAACCCGACTGTATTTCGAACTCAGATTTCCGTTTTCTCATCCCGAGCCGCTAACCATTGCGCCACCCGTACATCCACTTATATGTAGGAACGAGGTAGACTCTGACTTTTTAAAAATATATTTAGAAAAGTATTAATGAGCTGAAAAATCTCTGTAGCCTCTGATTTGGCGCCGCCCTAACCACCTTACATTCGTTAGAAACAAAGTAAATAATTATATGTCAATGAGTTCGGGAAAATTTCCTCTCAAGATGCCACCTTTCAAGGAGGTCAATAATCGAGTATTTCGATTAGCATAGTCTGGCACAAGCGTACTATAACGGGGCTAACAATAGCATCTAATAAAACAAAAGTACCATATAACTAATTTATCTGAGGCAGGTGGTCACTAAAATGACATTCTGAACCTGAATTAAAGGGCTAGTTCTTCTTGTTTTGTTACATTAGATCAGTGGGTCGGCTGGCTAGGAAAGTTGTCTCAGCATGTTACCTGATGACACGGGTTGATACTCTTGGACACCACCAAAAAAATTACGCGTCATCTGCAGACGTGTTATACTGATACGAACGCAGCTGTCATTTAAAGATTCGCTTCGATGGCCCCGAACAATGATATTTTTGTTTAGAAAACGTGTTTGACAGTTGACGAGCGCTGTTAATAGTGCATAATCTGAGAGATAGACACTATTCACAGTACATCTGCCAGCAAAAATAAAACAGTGAAAGTGCAATCTCTACCAGAGAATAGATTCAAATATTGACACAATGCGATACACGAGCCTACCTCGTTCCTACATATAAGTGGATGTACAGGTGGCGCAATGGTTAGCGGCTCGGGATGAGTAAACGGAAATCTGAGTTCGAAATACAGTCGGGTTGGTTGCATTCAATTACGCGCAAGTGAACGGTATACATATGTCTCCCATGTATATGAGTTACCGGGAAAGTTATAAATAAATTCATCTCCTGAACTATGGGTTAAATAGCAGTATTCATATCTAGAAAATCATTGTTATTCTAAATAATTAATAAGTCAATATTCACTGGCTACAAAAATACTTCTTACAATACAACATATGTTTCGGCTTTAAATAACCCACAAAATTTGATGAGCCGTAAAACAAATAATTCAGTCAATCCATTACATAACCGAATCCATGCTAGATAAGGCCATCACTTTAACTCAAGAATAAATAAAATACGCACAAACGAAGTAAAAATCATCAAACACTGTAGAAAATCACTATTATTCGAAAACGAAAACGCGTGGCTAACGAAAGAAAGGAAGCTTCGATGTTACAAAGGGAAGGTTTGATGGTTTTAAACCTTCCGACTTATAGGTATAGTTTTCAACAAGGACTAAACAAAATAATCGATACAAATCATATCGACGTATACCGAGACGACAGTTTAATAATCCTAACTGTGATAGACAAAAAAAATAATCATAAAGATTTTCAGAAGGTAGAATTCGGTATAGACATAAAAACAAACTAAAGGAAGTAGGTTTCCTATACATCACACTCAACCTAAGAAAAAGTACATATCAAGCAGATAGAAAACCCCAAAACAGACCATTTTACATGCACACATGTTCCAAATAGTCAAACAGATCCCAGAATCAGGTAACCACATATATCTGACAATTCTTCTATGGAACTCATCTTCAACGATTCAAAAAATAAAAATGTTTATGAAAATACAGTGACTTTTGGAAACAGTTACACACAAAGCACACAATAAAAAAGCCATATATATATATTCATTAAGCTCATACACAAACATTCTTTCATCAAGCACTCTCCACGAGATATTCAACAGAAACACAGTAAAAGTCAGCTACAGAACACGCGACAAATAATATAAAAACATTACAGAAAATAACCAACAAACCACCCGCACACATCAAACCCAACTCTAATTGCAGAGCAAAGAACTCATACCCCATGAATGGAAAATTGCATACAACACTATATAATATGCCAAGACACTGTAGAATCAGATAACGAAGTAAAATATACATAGGTATTACCGGAGGACCCTGGAAGCAGAGAAACTACGCATACAAAATATCCGTTACAAATAATAAATACACGAACAACCCTTTTTCAATATATATGGGGAATGAAAAGGAAAGGCCAATTTACAGCAAAAATATAACAGAAAATAAGAAAAAAATATATCAGGCTACAACAATAAATCCAAAAAGTGTAAACTCTATCTGGATGATAAAGTATCCCTTATTAACCCAAATTATTAAATAAACGATCAGAACATTCCAAAATGCAGACAAGAAAACAATTTTCATTACATTACTTAAAAATAGAGATTTAAAAACGAATACCTTGTAAAAATACCATCATGTAAACTGCAAATATATACAATATACACAATGCAGATAATCTAAAATAATAAGCCAATACTTTAAATTAAACAAATAAGATAACCGACTCCCGAAAAAAAATTAAACAAAAAATCTAAATAAACAAATTAAGTAAATAATAAAAAAAATAACAAACTATAAATGCACATATAAAGATTAAATGAAATAATAATAATCGACGATAAATAATTAAGTAAATAATGAATAAATATTAATAAACAACAGTATAAAATAGCTAGAAATAACTTCATTCGGATAACTTCTAGAATAATTTGAAACAAGTGTTACCACCCATCCAATAACCGTTAGGATAATAAATGGTGTTCCAATAAATTGGACCGATTTTAAATGTGTATTAAATTTAAGCGTCTAATGATTTTTTTTTCCTTTTTCTTTCATATTTGGCGGAGATTTGGACGATATTATATTTTACATGTAATTGCCATGACTTAATAACATGATCCAATAGAGAAATAAATTTTCACCAATAAAAATGATTTATTTACTGCTGACTTTGATCCGTCTTAATGAAACTCCCTTTACAATAGACCTTGCTACCCATAATGCACCATAATTACTGAGTACTTAAAAATTATATATAAAAGGCGCGCAGGTTACATTCAGTTATTTTCTACGGTTAAAACACCTGTAGAACAACATGAGGTAAACATCAATCTGATATCAAGCTGTCAAAACATCAATAGATTAAATAAAAAGCTACTTACGTGTTGAAAATGCATTTCTGCAATATTTGAAAATTAAAGGAAATGATATTTTTTTCAAATTATATTAATTATAATTCAAATAAAGTTTCAGAAAAGTATATTTTATTTTTGAAAGATTTTTTTTTTTTAAAGTGAAATACATTGCAATAAACGCGAGCTAAAATGGGAAAAAAGGTTCCAGTCCTGACTTGGAGCTAAAAAGACTACGGCCTCACCAAACGTGCCGCTTCTGTTGTGGTTTCCGTAGCATTAAGTTGTATGGGGTGGTTAATTCAACGCCAAACTGGGTTTAAATTCGAACTTGTACTTCCCTATACTGGTTGTCAACAAAATATGGAGATACCAGTGGACACTGCTGTTAGCACCAAAACATGAGAAGAGATGAATTCATAATTTTCCAAGGTATTTGTGCTTAAACGAATGTGACGGGCTCAACTGGAAGTTGACAAATCTTCTTTATGTTCCGTGCCCCCCTCAGGACGATTATGGCTCTCTACAACTTCCCATCTCTTAATAAACTTTATTTTTCTCTTATTTCTCCTAAACCCTGTACCGCTATTAAATCATTACTCAAGCTTATCTTACCGACTGTGCTCACATCCCTGTTTGTTCACCTTAAACATTCATAAATCATCGGCGACTGACAATAAGTGCATTATCAATGACGCAAAACTGCCTTGGAGGGAGATACATGTCAGATACCCTTTTGGTAGGCTCTCGTGAAGTTAACCTCGCTCGCAACACCCCAAAATATGATTTATAATTAAGGAATTTTCAATGTGTACTGCCATTCCACCAGCGTCCGTTTCTGATATTATAGGCCTGCATAATACAGCCAGAGGTATTACTTTCGGTGCATCAATAGATTATATATATATATATATATATATATATATATATATATATATATATATATATATATATATATAATGGACTCTCCGTCGGTTTTGACCTATACGGATTTAACAATTTAACCAACTGATTCAGTTACGAATATTTTTTTTGCGATAATGGAACTTAAGACCTGCAAATGATTTGTAAAGGAATCCGCATATGGAGCAAATGTAGTATACGGTCACTCTTAGATTGACTGGCCGTTTAGATCTTGCTCTCGCTTCTTGAAGACTGAATCAGACTAGCAGATTGAAAACCGCTGAGTCCACGTTGATCTCTACTCTACTCGTTATGAGTGAGATGAGGTATATTGACACCTGACAAATTGCTCTTCATCTTGTTTTCTTTTATCTAAGCCATGGGCGTCCTACATTCCTGTGACCCTGACCTAACTGGCTATTCATTATCTTGTCATCAGGCATTCTCAAGACGTGACCAGTCCACTGCAACTGAGACGGTATGAGGAGAATCTCGATTCCTTCAAAATTACACCTGTTAAACACGTCTACATTGGATATCCTGTCTTGAAGGCTAACTCCACAGATATATATATAGGTAAAATCCGGAGGTAAATAATCCAAGTGGATCCTAATAATATAAAATAATTAAACTGATCCACAAGGAGAGCTCAATGCACTTATTACAGAGTATATATATATATATATATATATATATATATATATATATATATATATATATATATATATATATATATATCGACTCTCCCGTCGAATTCGACGTATGAGGGTCAAAAGCAGATCCGTTCTAGAAACCGACAGCCTGACACCGGCACATGAGACTTGATTATAGTATTGAAGGCTTCGTGCAGGACCATCCACACTTTTTGAAGGTACGAATACAGAGACCTGGTGCACCAGTGGCACAAGGTTCCCAAACGACCCTCCACAGGTTTTTAATTCATAGTTGTCCTTCTCCTAGACCAGTTGCCATCCAAGGCTATAGAACCCAGTCTGTCCTACTATTTTACCCATAACTGGATGGAGAGGATTCATACCTTTCCCAAGGGTATTAGCACGTAAGTGAATGTAATGGATCCGACTGGAATATATATATATATATATATATATATATGTGTGTGTGTGTGTGTGTGTGTGTGTGTGTGCGTGTATTTACGTATGCCATGTATTGTTTACCTCTGTCCATCTTGCTCTCTATCTGTCCCGTGTGTATCACATTTTCCCGGCCCTGCTTCCTCATTATATGCCACAGAAACCACAATTATCTCTTCCTGATGTTAAGTCTTAGTTTCCTTTTTGTTTCCATTTTTTCCAAAACTTCGTCCTTACTGACATGTTCCATCCATGGTATCCTCAGCATCCTTCTGTTGAACCACATTTCTGTTGCTTCAAGTCTCCTCTTCATCTTTGAAGAGATCGCCCAGCACTTACAAGATTACGGATATCACATACCAATTTGATACCTTTTTTTCCTTGTTTCTAGCCAAATTTTCCTATTTCTTACTAACTCTGCTTAGCATTTGTAATGCTTCCTTGTCTATCCAAATAAGCCTTCGGATTTCAGCGTCGCTCTTTCCGTCCTCTGTTAAAGAAATTCCCAAATATTTAAATTTCTGTACGTGTTTGATTTTTGTGTCTCCGATTTGTAATTCGGATTTTGCGCTCATCCTTTTGCTAACAATCAGGCATTCTATCTTCTTGCAGTTTTTCGTATCTGTAAATGAGAACTATGGTCAACTGGTCATTTCTAAATTTCATCGGAAGCAGATCAGAAGGTGCGATATTATAAAATACCTGATATATATGTTCGTTTATTCTTACATCACATTTCTGAGATAATTTAGGTTTGATAGACTAATCGTTAAATGAATGTTTCCTACGTGTTTTACTACTGCTGATTATATCAAATTTCGCTCGTAAATAAAGGACAAAACAGAAAATTCTGCTGTGACGCTTTTTTTTTCAGGACGAAACGTTAATAAAGAAAATAACGTTTTTACTGAATGAATTTCGCTGACATGAAATGGAAATATTATATTGAATCTTCGTAGATTTCTTCTGCTACGAAAGTTGGTTCACTGTGTCGAGCGAGACAATCTTTCTCGTTCGAATCTATCTTACATACTTATAAGACTACCGCTCGTCCATGCTTTAAATATTGCTGCCACATCTGGTCTGGTACTCCTGCTATATATTTAGAGACCATTGATAAAATCCAAACAAGGTTCTGCAATGTCATTGTTTCTGACCTGACTTCTCTACTGCAGTCACCTTTCCACCACCCTAATTTAGCTTCCCTGTGTCTTTTCTATAAAAAACTTTAATGGTAATTGTTCTGATGAACTTTTCTCCACAGTACCTCGACTTTATGAATTTAGGCGCAATACTAGATTGCTGGTAATGTCTCATGATTTTACAGTTGGAATGGCTAGATATAACCGTAAGTTCTATGCTAACAGTTCCTTTAATTCGTGCTTCTCGCTTGCGGAACTCTCTCCTGGGTTCTTGTTTTCCATTCAAGTTTGATCTTCAGGAATTTTAATGAAATATCAGTCGTTATTTTCTGTTTTTTTTAATTTCTGTTTTTTTTTGTTTTTTTTCTCACGCCTTCATATTTTTTATTCTTTTTCTTTCTATTTTTTGACACTCAGTAACCCCCTGTATCTTAGGGGCTTTTTTGCCTTTCTTGTGATGAAAAGATTTTTTAAAAAGTATTAGTATATATGAAAAGAGAAAAATATAACAAATTCTACTTACAGTTTGCATCGATGATCAGTATTTAAATATCAATACTAACTACCGAATTTTAGACTTACCCTATGTCATTGAACGTTTCTTAACAGTTACTTTTATTAGTAACTTTTTTTTTTTTACCTATCTCGCATTGCATTGTAGAAAATTTCTGAGGAAAGAAGGTATTTTTTATCTTCCTAGACTTACGTCTGCAGTATAGGGTCCTGAAATTAATAAACTTTCAATATATTTTCGTCTGAATAAATTTCTTTGTTTTAAGCAGAAACTCAGTTAGAAACACTTACTTAGAAACAGTCCCATTTAACTTTATACATACATTACATACATACATACATACTATATATATATATATATATATAGAGAGAGAGATAGATAGATAGATAGATAGATAGATAGATAGATAGATAGATAGATAGATAGTGCAGTCTAGGTTCTCGAAAGTTTCACATGTCGAACAAATCAGTTTTCGAACAGAAAATTTGAGATGAAAATGCCCCGGTTATCGAACAAAATATCGGTTCCCGAACAACATTGCCGAGCTGAGTTGACCCGAACGAAATAATTTTTGAGTCGGCCGCTGTGTTGTATATAATCGTGTTTTGTGCCGTGCTTTTTTCCCAAATTTTATTTTACTGCGATTTTTTTTCTCTGCATTTATTCCTATTGGAAAAATATTTTCGGTTTACGAACATTTCAGGTTACGAACGGGCTTCAGGAACGAATTAAATTCGTGAACCGAGGTTCCACTTTACATACATACATACATATATACATACATACATACATATATATATATATATATATATATATATATATATATATATATATATATTATAATAATAAAAATATGCATTTTACCATACCAGTAGAATAAGAGTGAGCATCATGCACAATGCAATCGTCAGGTGCTGGATGAAAACTAACCAATGCATAACTTAAAGATGCATGCATCTCAGAGTTGCGCTAGCGGTGAGGAAAATATATTATTAATATAAATTGTAACTCTGTTATTATACAACGATAACTCTGTTATTAACACCAGCACATGTGCTTATATATATATATATATATATATATATATATATTCTATCCTCTTGAATTATTTTTATATACATACATACATACATACATACATATATATATATATATATATATATATATATATATATATATATATATATATATATATATATATATATATGTATGTATGTATGTATATATATATATTTTATATATTTTAGATATATGATTACATATGTATGTGTATATTAACCACTAATATTATCAATTATCTATATATATATGTGTGTGTGTGTTTGTGCGTGTGTATGCTAAATCTAATTTGAATTCAGTCGATGTTATATGAATGAGAGTTCTCATCTGACCTTTCATTGGTAAGATGTATAATGGTGAGTGGTTTCTCCAAGTGTTTGAATAATGGCAGCCATTATTCGTCGTTACCTAATGCTTCCTGCACGCCTCCATTTGTTTATCTTTTAAATCTTGTATTTTAGACCATTCTTCAATCCCGCTTGCTCTCTTAGCTTTATTGCTAACACTTTTTTTTTTCCTTTCAGTTCATTTTTTGCGCTAATGAGTCACGTGATTTCCTTCCTGCCTATATTTTGCAACCGTGCACCAAATATGAAATTATAGATTTATCACACACTCGATGTTTTAAGTATATTGCTTAGGTGTGTTTTCACTAATTACTTCACAGACATTCGTTCAGGTAACCCTATTTCCTTGTCCATCTTTTTCTAATTTTTATTACCTGCTCGAATTGGTTGTCTTCCTGTGAGTCTTTCAGTTCTTCACATTTATCACAGAAGTTCAAAATAATAATGTGTATACCCATAAAACGAGATGCAGGTATGATTATCAGTAAAGATAATACATCTATATGAAATACATATATGTCTAACCTTAAAAAAAAAATTAAAAAGACACGCTGTTTTTCCCTCTCTTGCAGAAAGAAAAATAATAACTGAGAAATTCAGAGATTTTGTTAAAAGTTAATTACGAAGTAGCCGGAAGAAAGCGAATTCCCCCGATGTAGAATGCTTGTTTAAATATCGAAAATGAAGGCGGTTGAACAATTTTATAACTATCTGAAATATTTTTTTTAAGTCTCTGCAAAATTAAATGCCCTACAACCAAGTCTAAAGAGAAAGATCAGCTGTAAGAGTTTTCAATGTTAGCTGAATGAATGTAACAGAAACAGAAGAAAAAATAATAATGAATAATTTATCAATTTGAACTCTTTAAAAAGAAACCAAGAAAAAAAAAAAAGAAAAAATTTAAAAAGAAAAAAAAGGAAAAACAAAAATGTAGGGGGAAAAAAAAGCAAAGGAAAAATAACGAAAGAAAATGAAGAAAGGAAAAATAACGAAAGAAAATGAAGGAAAAAGAGAAATAAAAATATATAAATAATTCCAAAAAGAGAAAAGTTAAGGAAACGAATGAATGAATGAACAGAAGGAAAAGAAACAAAGAATGAAGAAGATATAAAAAGCAAAAGTAGAAAGAAAGGAAAAATAAACAAAGGAGAAAAAAAAACGATTGCAGAACAAAGTGCAAAGAAATATAAAGGCTATGGGAAAGTAAAGTAAAAAAAAAAAAAAGAAAAATAACAAAGAATTAAACAAACAATAAAAAAATTAAAAGGAACAGATGAAAAAAAAAGAAACAATGTAAGAATAAAGAAAGGAAAAAGAATGAAATAATAAAGAAAGGAAGAAAGGAAAAGGAAACAAACTCAAAAGAAACAGGGAAACGAAGAAATAGTCTGACAAAGGAAAAATAATCGAAGAAAAAAGAAATAAAAATGTAAGAGATAAGGAAGAAGATACCAATCGTAAAAGAAACAAAAGAAAAAGAAACGAAAAATAGGAAATAAATGAAAAAGAAACAAAAGGAAGAAATAACGTAACAAACAAGAAATGAACAAACCACAGATAATGTTAGAAAGAAAAATGAAACAAAACAATTAAAAAAAAAAGTAAATGAAATTTAGCAATGGAGAAAGAAAGAAAAGAAAATGAATGACAATAAACGACGAAAAGGAAGGTTGACAAACGAAAAAGAAAGAACGGATGAATTAAATTAACAACCGAAAAAAAAAGAAAAGATATAGAAACATCGTTAGATTAAATGATTGTAGTTATTAAAATTTAGCAGCAAATTAATAAGTAACTTCCTTCAATGATTTTTGAAAGGAAAGGGGAAAAATCAAAGCTTTTTCCACTATTTCATTATTTATCATTTGTATGTACAATCGCCCTGTCACTCATAAGGGCATATATATATATATATATATATATATATATATATATATATATATGATAAGTGTATGTATTTATATATATATATGTGTAATATAGTATATATATTATATGCGCGGTACTTATTGGAAAGCGATCAATATCAGAGATAGAGCTAATATTTACTTGGATTGATGTGAGTTTGTGTCTAGGTTTCATCCTTTTGCGTTTGTCTGACGATCGCAAAAAGCCTGAAAACCCAGGGTCACAAACTCACAATCAACTCCAACTATATATATATATATATATATATATATATATATATGTGTGTGTGTGTGTGTGCAATTTTATTTACTCAAAATTATAAAAAATAAAACATGTTATAATATATACTATAACATGTTTATATATATATATATATATATATATATATATATATATATATATATATATATATAGTTCAACAAATATTATCATCGATAAATGCACGTCAGTCTATATGACGGTCCCGTATAGGATACAGGTTCGATTCCGATCGGAGGACGCATATTTTCTATGAACATTTCTTGGACATTCAGGCCGGTAAATGTCGTTAATACTCTTTATTATATGAAGCGCATTTACTTAAATATTTGTATCTATAAAAAGAACATATAAATATAAAAAAATGTCTTATTATATGTGTGTGTGTGTGTGTAAGAAAAGTAAAGAATAAGAAATAAAACTAGAGATACTCGTGTTTCAGCTTCGAATTGAAGGATCGTCAGGCCAAGTTCAATTTTAGACTGAAATTGAACTTGGCCTGATAATCCTTCAGTTCGAGCCTGAAATCCGGGCTGCTCTGGTATTATTAATTTTTTTCTACTTTTCTTAAAATTTATAAGTCTTCTTCGCATTGAGCAATCTTTATTAATAGTTTCATTATTATTGGATCTAACCAACTGCCTTCGTATTCCATTATATATATATATATATATATATATATATATATATATATATATATATATATATATATATATATATATATATATATAATTATTTTGAGGTAAAATATGCATTCATTCATATCTGTGTTTATGTATATTCACATGCTTGTGGATTTCCATTCGCATCCGCTTCTCCTCACACATGCATGTATAAGTCACGGGTTTGTGTATATTTATACACACTACAAAGTAATGTGTCTACTTACATATATATGTACCTACACATTTTCCATTTGCTACCTTATACTATCGTATATACTGTATATAATTACGAAGGTTACAAATAGATGTGTTTTACAGCTAGCGTATTGAGCGTGATCTTGATTTGGCGACAAATTCTTGGAGAATTTTGGCAAACTAAACTGACTATAGTAAATATCAGTCCAGTGCCAGATTTAGGCTTGGCCAAACAAACTACAGGTGGTCTGAAAAACATTTCTGACTTGGCCGACATTTAAGTCTTTTGTGTTTTTTTGTTTTTTGTTTTTTTTTTTTAATAAAATTCTTCCAATCATTATATATATAGGTTAGGACCTTACAAAGCCTAAATCTGGCACAATATCCACCCATGTAAGTTCTTGGACGTAGACATCTCTACACGAAGAGAAAGGGGTAAAAAAAAAAATAACAAACAAGATGAAAGATAGACTTCAAAAGCAGTTAGTATGTATGTCATGCAGAATTTTTTTTTTATTTCTACAGGCGCTATTCGTCCAACACAAAGGGACAAACACCAGAAAATGTATAAGGTTCTTAGTCCAGATTTTCTGGACAATTTCATTTAGCAGTAACTGTCAACTTCCGTTGTCTTTTTTTTTTCTTTCATTTTTTTTTTTCATTTTTTCTTTTTTTTCATTTTTTACTTCATCCTCCTTGTAGAGTATATTCTGGCCTTTTCATGGACACTGTACAGAGATTGTAGTTTAAGTCGATTAAGAGAAGAACAACAATTATTTGGGATTTCCAAATTCTTTTTTTTTTAGGTTTCATTAATGTGTGTGTGTGTGTGTGTGTGTGTGTGTGTGTGTAAATATGTGTTTTCAAAAGGAATATGACAAAATGAGGCTTCCGTACAGTTTTGTGTGTATGCTGTTAATGGGTTTTACATTTGACATTGGAGAGTGTTTATTATTAAATACAATTCCCAGATCTTTTTGACGTGAGTGCATACAGACAGAAAAATATAATATTTATATACATGGGATCCCGCAGTTCATTTCAAGTACTTAAGTTTAATCTATACGTGAAAGTGTTGCTCAAATTTTATTCACTCTAACTCGATCCAACCACGGTTATATAGAATTCATTGCATTTAGTAGATGAGTTGTGAGCATCAAAACATTAACCTCATCTTTTAGTATATATATTATTAAGCACTTTTTTTCTTTTTTACTGAGATTGCTTAAAAAATTAGCATTGGCAATATAGGTACCCGTTTCATAATTATAATTGAACTCTAAAATGAATATTTACTGTCAGCGTATTCTTTTAGGCTTCCTTTTATATTTTTGATATTCAATCAATAATAAACAATATTGTTGGTGTATACATGCTTTTATTAGTTCAAATCTGTTATTTCCTGCTTTTTAAAAAGTTGATGCCGACAGAATTTGATCAAGAGTGATTTCCATGCGATTTCTTTATTTGGTACGAATTTACTCACAACATGGCTATTTCGTATTGTTTCATCTTTCCTAAACATAAACAAACTCGCCTAGAAGGAATTTATTTTTCGTATAAAAGATTATCTTTTAGGCATTTGAATATCGGGGCAAGAAATTTGTAAAATAAAACAAGCAAACATTACTTGAAGTTCTGAAAAGCAAAATAATAATTTGGATTAGAGATGCGCCTGTTGTTTGCAACATATTGTTTCGGTAGGTATATTGTGGGCTTTCCTCAAGTGTATATCGGCATCTTCTGTCGATCATAATATCGAGTAGACTAAATCAGGGTATGAAATATTTGTGCTGAGAATAACACGGATACCAGTTCTTGTATTGGACTCATATCGTCTATATAGTTACGATTTCTCTTGCAGCTAATAAAAGCCAGACGTAACCTAACCCGTCGCTCTTAACAGACGTCTTAATAAATTTATATCGTGTGTCAACTTACATACACTACCCTACGCAGAATAGAAGAAAACTTCTGTAGGTTAGCTATTTAAGCTTTCTGATATTCTAAAGCTTAACGTTATCAGCAATCAATGTCGAAATTGAGATGAGATGATTTTAGAGGCGAAAATTATTAATTTGCGCTGTCCGTTATTAAGCGGGAAACTAATGATTTACTATTGTAATGTGATCGCTGGCGTTTCTAGATATGAATGCTAAGGACATGCATATATTAATTGTATATACCGTAGATGCATTTTAACAAAGGATATCTATATCAACCTATCTCTTTATATATATATATATATATATATATATATATATATATATATATATATATATATATATATATATATATATATATATATGTGTGTGTGTGTGTGTGAAAAGTGTATATAAATATATATATATGTATATAATTATTTATATATTATATACGTGGTACTTATTAGAAAGCGCTCAATATCAGAGATAGAGCTAACATATTTGGTTGGATAGATGTGAGTTTGGGACCCTGGGTTTCACGCTTTAGCGATCGTCAGTGAAACCCAGGGTCACAATCACATCTATCCAACTAAATATATATATATATATATATATATATATATATATATAGGTATGTGTGTGTGCGTATGTATACATGTGTGTGTGTGTGTCTCTCTCTCTCTGTGATATCCTTGAACTTAAGACAGAATTTGATACGATTGCCTTCAAAAATAATATGAAATCAGGTCACTCAACCAGATACACATTCAAATAAGGTTTGTCTGTATGCAATTACGTGTTCGAAGATACCAATATAATATTAATAAATAAAGATTAAAAAATAAGACTCTTAAAACATTTCGAGAACATTTTTTTTTTTTTTTTTTGATGAAAATCAAAATTAATTTAACTATATATCTTTAGTGTTTTGCTGCTGTTATATTTCCTTTTCGGTATAAAACAATGTAAATAAATAAAATTGTATTGAAAATTACCAATTAGAATCTGGGGAGAGTTAATAAAACTGAAATGTCTTTTGTGAATTTATATGCATAACTAGATGGAATCTAATGGCGGCATAGTGTTTAAAAAAGGGAGGTAATTCTTCTTGCATCATGTTTAATGACCTTTAACTTTTTTCTCTCTTGTTGTCTTCTTCTGTATGGTACTATCAGCCAAGAGCGCGCCCTCACACGCACACATGCACATATACACTCATGTATTCTTCGCCAGATTATTATTTTTTTTTTGTTTTATTGTCTTTTTTCTTTTGTTTTAACCATACAAATGCCGTAGTCCGAGAAAACGCCACAGAATGTCTATTTACAAAGAAGCATTTAAATGTCCATGTTGAAATCATCTTTGTTGCACGTGTCCCGGTTAATGTTCATATCTGTTGGCTTTTATTTTTTTTTCCTTTCTTCAATATTATATTATTAATATGATCATTGTCTTTTTCCTTTGTTTTTTTTTTTTAGTGAAATGTTAATAGCAAGTCACTGTTTTATTTTTTTAAGTATTGTGATCGACTTTTTCTTTACTCTGTTTAATGCGTTATAGAAAAAAAACAATTTTCTTTCTTTCTGGGTTTTGGTTTAATGTATGGCAATTTATTAATAAATGTATTTTTGTATCTGGACATGTAAATGTATATTTGTGAGTAGTCCTTTTGTGTATGTGTCTTTTTGTACAAGGTATTTTTCAATGGAATGCGGTGTTTTCAAGACGCATTAAGCTGTTTTTTTTTTTTTTGCTTTGTGTTCATTTTCGTTTTGTGAGTTGGAACATTTT